CAGTGTGAAGTCGCTGAGCCAGAGTATTTTCGGCTAGGTTGTCTATGCTGCGGCAGCTGCATCTCCTTTGCATATGGCCAATGGAAGCACTGGAGGTGTATTCGGAAACCACTTGCGCATCGCACTATTTTGCTCTTGAGACAATGCGGGTTGTATGGAGTTGGCCGCTTTGCAGCAAGTTTTCAGGCTGCTGTGCTCTTGAGAGTGACTGAAAGGTGACAAGATGAACATATCGACAAGGGATACTTGAGGTACATACAGTTGTGCTGCAAGGAGGGCTTTGCTTATGACCATAGAGGATATGCTTGGGTGACAATAGGGTTATTTTATAGCTGCAGCTTGATATGGAACATCCTCACTCTGAACTACTGTGTCTTTGAATATATCTGGGCTATACCAGCACACATAGGGATATAGCTTAGCACTACATTGCCTAGTACTTATGCTGGATAAGCGACACGGCCGTAACGGAGAATAAGACAAGGGTATACAGCTTACCTTCTGGGTTGGTGTCTAAAGCAGACCATAGTCCCTGAAATGCACTATTTCCAATAGGTTAGCTTGTTTGACACAAAAATGCCTCATATGCATGTTCAATCTCGTAATGGTTGATATGGTGGGGTATGGAGTCTATCTCGTCTATGTAATCCCGGAATACTGGATGGCTGAGTACTATCCGACCAGCACAAAATAAACTGCAAATAGGCATCTTTATGGCGCATGACCTGCCCTCCCACATCCATAATAGACAAAATACCACTGCTAAAGCCGAGCTGCGAGTTTGTGTGCATAGATTTCTCATTCGTGAACACAGTTCCTTTCGGGTGGCTGTGCAAGAAGCAACTGGGGACGCCAGCTCGTCTTCCTTTGTCTGTGCTGCACATTACAGATCGACGCCAGTGATACATTCGTGAACGCAAAATACGGGCCTTGCCATCCGCTTTGAGCAGTGCTGCAAGCCACTGCAAAGGGACTCGGCTCTTGTCATGCTGCAGCCTACCGCGCCAATTCTTTGCCAGCCAACCACGCACTCGAAATTGTTTTCCGCATTCCAGCAATTGGCTGAGAGTGCCTCTTGCCGCACTGCTCCAAAAATTTAATATGTCTATATACGGATGGCATGCTATGCACATCTACGCATACATGCCGGCAAGGTGCATCATGTGTTCCTGTGTGCTCATAGCAGAGTTGTTGAAAAATGCGAATAGCACTGTGCTTATTGAAAACCAGAAGTACATAAAGTCTGCGATCAGGATGCAGCTGGATCAGCTCGCCTTCATTTATTTCTCACAACATACCATCCTCTTTTACCTCGCACCGCCTATTCCAGACTACCTTCAGCCCATCTTTTGTATTTATTTTTCTTGTTAACACATCATGACCATGCAACAGCCGGACAGACAGTGGAGGCAGTCCCTTTCACCGACATCACGGCCTCTGTGCCAAGTCGCTCACCCGCACGTCAACTGCTAGCGAATACTCTCACGTTATGAACTTTGTCAACTCGAATCCACACCGCGTCAACGAACTCCCTGAAACAGTGTTTGGCACGCTTCTTCTCGAGTGCTACGTCGAGTGTGACCGCGAAAAGTGCTTGTGCAACAAAAATCATGCCCGAGACTGGATGTGGAACTTGGGGTTCCTCATTAAGCACAACAAGCTACACCTGGTCACAGAGTTCAGAGTGGTCATCTATAACAAATGCGAATTGCCAATGCACATTGACAAGGTGATGAAGGATATGGCACGCAAGTTGCGTTCATCATTGCCGAATGTGCGCTCCATTCTGTTTCTTGGCTACGGCGTGTTTACAGCTGGTACTGCAGAGGATGTGGAACCTCGTCAGGAATTGATTGCAGCTGAGTCAGCCGCTGAATCCATCCGAAAGCTGTTCCCATGTGTCACTGACTTGAGGTACCATTTGTTCAAGAATTGGGGTCCGACACCCAACATCCTTGTGGAGCGCCAGAGAATTTGCACGCTGTACGAATGTACGCTCAAGGAGTACATACATCAGCTGAAACATGTCCAGGTGCTTATTCCATTCCCACTGAACGTGGCCAAGCTCATCGATAATCTCACATCGCTATCAATCAACATTCCCTACATCCGTCTGCGCCATGATTGCCAATTATTCAATTCGGTGCTTGCGCAGCCTCGAGATGTTCCAGATCGAGGCTGTCATCCCCTGGCACTTCTTCGAGATCACCGAGGGCGCCCTGAGTTTCAACAACCTTGAAAGTCTGCACCTAGAATTCATCCAGGTCGCCGCCCGGACCGTTGACTTTCCAGGCTGCAATTACCCTGTGTATTTCCCTAGATTGAGTGCCCTTAACATCACTGGCTCCGCCTACGTCTACACCGACATCTACGCCTATTTCCATGGCCGGGTATTCGAGAGACTGACTATCATGGACGATCCGACGAACTTTGAACACATCAATGAGCACGCTTTCGAGTCGGTGAGGATGCTCAAGATCGGCCACCCAACTAGGACCCCGTTTGTCGATGTGTACTCTGTCGACATGGTTGAGCGCCTATATCAACTACCATCCAGCGTTGAGGAAGCCGTCTTAGGGCTGCTCGACTATCCGCTGCCCGAGCTGATTGCATGGGTTAACCTGCGCTCGCTCAAACTATCAGCCAGCATCGCGGGACAAGCACGGGCTTGCCAATCTGCTGGGACAACTGCCACTTCTGCACACACTCATCGTAGATTGCTTTCTCTATGAATCAGAAAGATGCGGATACACCAGGTTCCCGGACCAGAAGATCACATTTGATGAGATCGGCGAGGTCCTGGATCCAAGCAGCCAACTGCCAGTCAGCGAGAGCCTCGAGCGACTGGATCTCTTTGTTCGCGGCACATTCGACCTGGTCGGTTTCTGCGAGCTGGTGCTGCGCCTTCCTCGAGTCACCAAGTCAGGACCAACCACCACATGATCCCGCACGTCATGGCCATGCTCCACCAGGTCTTCAAAGTCAACCGTTGATATTGTCTTTGAGCCCCTTCCTAATTTTCTGTATATCTTCGGTTGTTTACTAATCTGCAGGCATTCTTCGAAGAGCGAACGAGCGCTATATGGTGGCTATGCTCGTGAAAACAGCAACCCACGATTCTCTTAAGACCAGCTGGACGGTTGTTTGGACCGTCGACAGTTGGAAGTGGGCCATCACGCCAAAGCCACTTCATCCAAGGAACCAGCGAGGCTGAAAATTGACATGCCCCAGAATTTCTAACTTGCAAACTGCAGAGCGCCAGATGCACCGCTGGCTTAACAAATGGCTTTTTTGCTTGTGAGCGCCTGTTCTATACGGCTTAGATGCGGCTCAGTCTAAAAGTGATTACTTGATGCACAATTAAGGATGGATGCAGAAGGCGCCTCTGTGCTCATATCTATTATAGCCAATTCGGGATGAGGAAGAGGTCGGAGTTCAAAGTAGCGGTTTGGTGCGCTGAGGAGAGTTTCTGCTACACAGACTGCTCTTGACAAGATATGGTAGGCAAATGGAGGTGAATGCCACGGAGGAGGAGGCGGCGGCGGCATACTAGGGACAATTTGTGTGCTGCAAGAGACGCCGGGGAAGGAAAGGGCTGTATATTGGTTAGTTGTGCTCTTTGCTTCGAGGCGTGCGCATGAATTGTAGGCCTTGAGAGGGATAGAGAGGCCGTATTCTCAGCTGTATGACTGCCAACAGGTCGTATAAAAAGATAGAGCGGTAGCTAAATCTGAAGAATACAACCTATCGCGCTTTGCTCGTCTCTTTGGCAGCTATTTTACATTCCCCACCTTCCTAACTACAAGTTTCTCTATAGCTAAGAAAGTACTCCTTACCATGCTTTCTCCACATACTAGTAGTCTCGTCTCATACTCCTCTGGTGTTCGTCATTTTGATGATGCCTCTGAGCCGCCTGTTTTATAAATGCTATCGAGTATCATGCAGTTTTTTGAAGGCAGTTTTTAAATAAGCACCTCACTAAACAGCTTGTCAGACGGGCTGCATTTCCAAGACAACTAACTTTTTATTTCTTTCAATACAAACTTTCAACAATACCTCTCATCAACTGAACCAACTGCTAGATGAAGGGCTTCTTGTAGAAAGTGGTGCTGAAAAGAGCGTTAAAGTAAAGTATATAAGAAAGGCGTGAAGGTGGCTCTATACTCAGACTTATTATAGCTACATTGGGAAGACAAGGGTGAGATCGGAGCTCAAAACAGGTAGTGATGTGCTAGGGACAATTCGTGTGTCGCAAGAAATACCAGAAAAAAGGGTCATGCTTTCACCTTTTGTGCCCTTGCAATGAGGCGTGCAGAGAGAACTGGAGGCTTCGAAAGGGACCGAGGTGCAGTATCTTTGGCTGCATACCTGTCACAGGTTATATAGAAATATAGAGGTGTGGTTAACTGTGAGAATCTCAGTTCACTGCACTCCAACCCTTTCGTCTTCGTTTTCTTCGTTTTCTTCGTCGCCATCCTCCTGTCTACAGAATTATCCTACATCTAAGAGATCGATCCATACCATGCTCTCTCCACGTACGAGTGTTTTCATCCTGCATAGCTCGGAGTCCGGAGTCGTTGATGGGTTTAATGAATCCACTATTCTTTAGGAACAGTTTCGTTCCAACAGGCGTATATCTAGAGGGTTAGCATGTAAATAAGTAGAGCACTTCACTTGAAAGCCTGTCGGACAAGTCTCATTCCTAGGAGAAAAATAAATACTGGTAGGTTCCCCGGGTCAGAACATGCAAGAGTTAGGCCAGATCTATGGTGGCGCAGGAGTGATTTGGCGTTCTGTGGCCAAAATACACAATACTCTTCGTTACGGATGCATTTGAGGTGATACGGACGGCAGGCAGCGAATGCTCAGTTCTCCCACTCTCCTCTTATTAGTTGAATGTATGTATTCGTTACTTTTAATCATAATAATCCACCCACACAACATCCATACAAACAAAAATTGGTTTATTCCTGTCCAAACTCTTTGAACGTGAAGGACCACTATGGATCGCCTTCCGCCGCACATTGTCGAATACATCATTTCGTACACTATCGGGAGGGGTAGGCTAGTCCCAGGGCTTCTGACAAATACCTATACGCCCACTGTACCCCATGCGTTATTCTCGCTGATGGGCGTTTGCCAAAAGTGGAGAGATACTGCCAAAAGGTTTATAGGCGAGCCAGCTATCGTCTTTGTCAACCCGCCTAAACCAACTCGCCTAGGCAAATCTGAGCATGCCTACTATCTTGGGGACGTTATTGCAGCCGGGCTCGAGCAACGTGTCCGCCATCTGCTGCTTGATTTCACTGTGGAGGATATCAGAGACGGCATAGCGTACTCAATGTTCAACTCGCTGGTCAGTCAATGCAAGGGCAAGTTCAGGAATGTCCACACTATCACACTCCATACCTCTCTACGCGACTCGTACTATTGGATCTACAATCGCCAAACTCGTCTGCCTGTGATTCGCCTGCAGGAGCTCGCCAACATGGAGAAGGAGGTTTCCCAGAATGCCCGTCGTATCGGCGATCTCGTGAGGGAGGCGATGCCAAACGTCGTTTCTGTGGCATACCTCGGTCCTTATAATCACACATTAGACAGCACGTCCCTGAACAGCGCTATTCTATCAGCGCTGTTAGCCGCTGCGCAATCTATCCGGTATCTGAGTATTCCTGTAGGGGAGCTTTCGCGCACCATTCTGGACAATGTGCTGGCACCCAATATCACGCAGATGCATGCTTTCTTGCCTGTTGGTAAAAGCGACGGGATTACTGGGCTTGCTATACGGTATGCCGATCGTCTGGAGACACTGTCTGTAGACGCGATTGATGACGAATCATTCATCATGCTGTTCAAGAGTCCAGCGGATGGATCACCTGTTGTGTACTCCAAGCTACACACATTCAAACTGATACGCAGCAACTTCTGGACACGCGGCGACGACAGCTACACTCTCAAGGTCAACCCTTTCCCGAAGCTGCGGCAGTTCATATGTAAAGGTGATTTCCCATTCACCACCAGCGATATGTTTCGTTGGATCCAACCCACGGTCGAGGTGATGAAGGTGCATCTACTTGTTGGGATGTATAAAGCATTCGTCAGAGAAGGGGTGTTCGCTACTGGTTCCTACCCAAATCTGCGCTATATGGACCTGGCGTGGTCTCTACCTAGAGACAGATTTATGGATATCGACCTAGCATGGAGCTCAGCCGCTTAGTATCGCTCAGTCCAGTCCTCGAGAAAGGGACATTTAAAGTATGCACCACTTCTCCTAAGCGTGAGGTGACTGCCATGTCTGCGCACGGATTTGTAAAGGAGCTAAACCTGGCTGGTATCCAGTATACCATTGTTGAAGCGGTCCACCTGATCAAGAGGTTCCCGGCGCTGCAGCTGCTGGTGTTGATGCTAAAGAACAGCGATGACGTTAACGAGCGAGGAGACATTACGGATGCCGATACCGAGAGGTTCCAGCAAAGGTATTGCTCTGGGGCAACTCCAGATTCAAAAAGCTGTGCGTCCGTTGTAATGCTTCTATTCATATTCGCGTGCCGCGCATCACATCTTGCTGCTGGCAAGTATTTTCAGATCCATCGAGGAAATCAGAGTTTGCAGTGAGTACAGAGACAGCACAAGAGATATTCTCGCAGCATTTGACATGGCCAAAAACCGCAAGTGCTTCGACAGTGACGGCCGTGGCCGAATTCGATCCATGAGGATTGCAGTGATTGATAGGAGGAGCAAATGGTTTTGATCAGATATAGCAAGTACAGAGTACGGTGTTGAATATCAATATATACGTATGGATATATGCAGCGATAGTTTTCAGATATCGTTTTTCCAGTAATGGCTATGAATTAAACAAAAGCTATGCTCGGCGTAGTTATCAGCACTATCACCCACATGACTTTGGAAAGTATATTTCCTATGGTCATGGCCAGTAATGATCTTACTCCTCTTTCGCTATTGCTACAAGCAGCATATAGGCAGGCATACATCCAGCTTCATATTGTACTTTCAGTCACATAGCATGTATTTATAGGATCAAATACACGCTGTGGAAAGGGGTCAAACAAGTCAGTGTACGCAGCAGCTGCAGGAAGCATTTCATTTGCGTTATCGTGTAGCGGAGAGAGAGCATGCCTATCGTTAGGGCAGAGATGACATGCTTGCAAACACGCCACATGAGGATACTGATCAGCGACTAATCGGCTGGGCTCCGGATCAGGAGTGGTGTGTTTGGTGTTCCCGTGACATTTTGGCATTCAACTTCCGACTTGCAGGTATCCTCGCCCTTTATCTCCGCTTTACCTTTTCCCCCTTGAATTTGCCCCCTTTAGGTTCACTTTTTTTATTTAGAAATGCTTAGTGCTCGTCAGCGGCCAAGCCTAAAGCAGAGGCGGGCGGAGCGGCGGCAGCGCAAAAAGTCAAGCGGCAAGAACAGAGCTTATGGAGAAAGTAAAGCAACAGCAAAGGCAAAAGCAGCACAGGCCAGAGCCACGCAGCTACACGCCGTCGTTCAGCCTGGTGTTCCGGATCCTGGCGCTTATCCGGGTGGTGGGGGCTCTAACGGCGCCGATACAGGACTGCGACGAGGTGTACAACTACTGGGAGCCCTGCATTTCCTGCAGTTCAAGCACGGCAAGCAGACATGGGAGTACGCGTCGCAATATGCATTGCGGTCGTACGGGTTCCTGGAAATATACGTGTGGATGGCGAGGGCGCTGCATTTCATATTGGGGTTCGCGGGCAAGGTGCAGGTGTTCTATGGAGTGAGGATTCTGCTGGCGATGGTGACGGCGGCGTGCGAGGCCGGGTTTGTCCGGGCCATTGCGGTGCATGTGGACAGGAGGATTGCGAACTACACGATGATGGGCTGTTTGGCATGGCGGGCATGTATCATGCGGCGGTGGCGTTGCTGCCGACGTCGTTTGCTATGTGCTGTGGGATGGTGGGCGGAGCAGCGGCGATGGTGCCGGCGTGGCAGGGGAATATGTGGCGGCGCACGGTTGTGGCCACTGGGATGTTTGCGGTTATGGCGGTGGTCGGGTGGCCGTATGCAGCGGTGATGGCAGTGCCGTATATGGTCGAGGAGGTGGTGGAGCGGGGCCGGGTGAAGCGCACGTTGGCG